GCTTCTTCGTACGCCTGACGTTAGTGCTCGAGAGATACAGATGGTTGTCTTCGCACAATGTGAAAAGCCTCTCTCCGTTATCAGAGCGGTTCTCATGGAACGTGTGGTGACCACCAAGGTAGCGTTCGTATGATAACAGGCGGCCAACCCGTACATTAAAATCCACAGCAGGATCAACGACATCCGACTTTGTAGCATTGCTCAAGAATTGATGTAGATCCCGGTAGAATTCGTCCTTGACCGAGCCGCCACTGCAGTCATTTGGGGCATACACGGAGATTACAAACAAGTTTTTTCACTCTTCGCGGTGCTTGTTGATTCCACATGAACCCCGAAGCCGAACTGCACATTGTCGGCTGTTAATCGGGAACCAGTGCGGTAGTGTTGCCTCGACCTTGCCACTTAGTGCTATACCTTCGCCAGCCAAACCCACTGAGGCTGCTTCTGGATCTCCAGAAAGACGCAGGTGATACCTGGCTTCGTGGTCACTGGAGGGATGTCAATGTAAGCACTGGGATTGGATCTTGCAACTGGGTTTCTGAAAGGCAACAGACATCAATGTGTAGGGGCTTTAGGGTGCGCGCTAGACCGGCTTGCTGTCCAGGCTGCATGAGTGTCCGAACGTTGAAGCACGTCAGACGGGACGAGGATCGAGGACGAAGGGGAGCCATAGGTTGAAGTCCTTGGTCCGCGGCGCAACCGGAATCGCAGCCAGATTGTTGAACACATGAATCGGGTAACGGAAAGTAAGGATTGTTAGCAAACAAACAATTGGCGTGTGATGAAGTCGCGTGAATGTGAGAAGCAGAAACAGTAGCTGATGAGCACTTTGTAGTTCAGTCCATGATTTTGTGAGAGGGCTTGATACTACCCGGTTGCCCAGGCCGAAGTAGGGAGTTGACTTAGGGAACTTTACCCCTAGCCTTTGGCTAAATAACCTACTCGCAAGGCAGCGGGGTAAATTCAGGGAATCACGCCCATTGGGAGGCGTTGACTGAATGTTCAGTTCATGCGTTTGTTTGTTTGATCACCAAACATGGGCCTAATACTCCTCATGAAATCAGCACAATTGCTGGATCACAATGCCTCACCGAAGTGCAACCTTGTCACCGATCACTTCGCTGTAACGGAGTACACCCGAACCACTCAGCTGGCACCACGAGGTAGTTCGGCAAGCCAGCCGTTCCAGACATATACCACTCGCCGTTCCAAGCACAGAGGATTAGGAACTTGCTTTATGTCTGGAACCACCGGCTTGTATTTGTGTTCGATTGCGCTGCAAGACGGTCGCAAATGACGAAGTGACCTGAGCTTGGAGAAGTCGCCTACATGTTAGATTCAGTAGGTAATGATGAGGTCGACATGTAACCGACAATATGCCAGGGTAAACAGTTCTAGTCTCTTGCATCTGGTATCGTACGGTATGCCTCGCGTACTGGGGACGAGCGTACTAACGACGTGTTGAACTCGTTCAACCTTCTGCTTCTCGCCGCGAGTGGTCGGGCAATAGGCAGGTGAACCGTACTTTAGCATTGGTCTCATGATGGAGTAAAAGAGGTTAGGGCCAACTTCTTTAGACCGGATGCAGAAACTACATTTGAGTCCCCAGAGCATGCGCGGTCCGCTACGATATATCCTGTCCGTGTTGTCAAAGGACTTCAAGTTGCAACGTGAGAGTACTCCTAGGTCCTTCACAGAAGTTGTGGGGTGTAGCACTTGGTCGTCCAGAGTGTACGTTCGGCCGTCGCCGCCATTCCCCAGGCTCATAAATACTGCTCGAAGGATACCAATCGGTCTGGTGGCTATGTACTTGTGCCCTCCACTTTCGCCCAGCGAGTAACTCCTGGATCCATTATTGCAGTGATCCACCAACACCACACACTTTCAGCTTTAAAAGGAGGATCCCATAGTTCACCTTGTCGAGCGCTTAGCTGAAATCGATGTAGATAACCCCGACAGACTTCACTTGATTCATTGATTGCATCCATTCATGCCTTGTCACGAGCAGGTTAGTGATACATGAACGACCTGGCGTGAAACCGTGCTGTGTTATTGTTAGATCTTTTGACCGGAACAGCTGTAGCAAACGTTTCTTCACAATCTACTGTGCGACCTTGGCCAGAATAGGTGTCAAACAAATTGGTCTGTAGTTGTCTACCTTGCTGGGGTCATCGCCTTTCGGAATCGGCCTTACTCAGAGTATTTCCAATCAATCGGCAATGTACCTTCGGACTGAGACCTGTTGAACAGGTCACTTACAGCAGGCGAGATGATGGCTTATAAGGACTTGCGAATCAGGCTTGGTGCCGTCAAGATTGTCGAATAACTGACGCACCTCTTCCACACCACAATCCAGACTGTCGAGTTCGGTAAGAGTGTTGCACGGCGAACTCGATACAGACACCTGGTCATTTGCAAACACAGAAGCAAAATACGCCGTTATTGCGGAAACACGCTCAGTGCTGGAGTTTAGAGGCTTTCCGTTCTCGTCCTCTATCACTGGTAGGTTACTTGTCGGCCTCAGGCGCCGCTTCACTTACACAAAGATTCTCTTTAGGGCGGTTTTTGCTGTGGTTGCAAATTGCTCTTCAAAATGCCTGCACTTGCTGGTTTTCATACCGTTGCAGATATTTCGCTGCTTTTAATACCTCTCATAGTCATCGTCCGATCCAGAGGTAAGGAATTTGTCCCATATGTCGCCCCGCTGCCGAGCTAGCTTACCATATTCTTTGGCAAACCACTGCGGTTTGACCGGTCCTATTTTCCGACACTTGGGAGGCACAACTTGGTTACACAATGCATTTATTCCATTCTTTATAACCGACCAAGCTTCACCAGATGCAGATTGCGGCAGAAACCAATTCACTTGAGTCGCGGCTCTAGTCAGACCATCGAAATCCGTCTTCCAATAGTTATAATCTGGCTGCAGTCTGTGAGATTGCGGCAGCGGCAGCTCCATGTTCTCAATAAGAACTTAGTGGTCGCTTGCTGCAAATGGCTCCAGAATTCGAATGTCATACATAGATTGTTCACAGCACGATGGGGTTGAGCGCGGTGTTATGCGCGTCGGTTGGCTGATGTGCTGTGCTTCCCTAGTTTCAAGTACCCTATTAGTACACTTGCCTTCGACCTCACAATGACCGGGGATAAGTTCAACTATAGGTCAGCGTATTCGAGGACATTTGAAACAAGAAGCTCTTTATAAATCTAAACAGAAATATCAGAAGACGTAAGCTGTGATATCGAATGCAGTCGATTGGTGGTCAGCTGATGGCCAACTATTACTGCGACACTACCACGGCAGGCTCATTGTTACTGTCAACTGCTTCTGTATGCACAGAGGCGGCCGCTCGCGATCGATTACGATGGCTTCAAGTAGCTTGAGTATATGCGGCCTTTGGTTACGCATGAGGACAGTGAAGGAGTCACTTGGGTTGACCAGGTGGCCAGTGTTCAGTAGAAGCCTCGTGATTGACAAAACTCTCCTGCCTCTGGATTCACCCGGTTCCACCGTCTGAGATCCCATTCGCTTGCGCAACCATTTAGGGATGTGCTCATCGATCCTGACGCCTAGACTTCGGTCAGTACGCCCATAGTAGATGTCCTCACAGCTGTAGGTAAATTTGTATGAACAGTGGGACATGCACTGCTTGGTCATCGATGTCTTCAATGAGCACATAAGCAATGGTCTTGTCGATGTGAGCAACCGCAACTTTGCCTCATTAAACGCGTTTTTCAAAGAGACATTTATCCGTTTCGTGGTGACTTTCAGGATGTGGTCACCTTTGAACGGCAGCTTAGTGAAAATCGGCTTCTTCTGGATAATCGTCATTGATACTCAATTCGTCGTGTTACAGACACGCTTTATGTATTATAAAAGGTAAGCAATGGATTTCAAACTGTCGAACAGAAAACCGCTTTCTGCTTCAGGTGTGTTCGGCGTGCAAATTAGTTTGGCTGGATGGAAAAATTTCCGGACCAGAGAACGTTTATGGTGTATTGATGAGAAGCTTTTATAATGTAGATAGTGGTCCGTCCAGGTTTCTTTCCAGTATACTGACTGCTTGATGGAACCATCTGGCCTTCGTATGACCAAAACGTCAAGGTATGGGAGGCGGTGATCGTGCTCAGCCTTACAGGTTACAGTGAGGTTTGGATGCATACGATTAAGTCGAGATGTTGCTTGCGCAATCTCATCATCCGAATCCATAATTAGAAGTATGTTATCCATATATCGTTTGTACAGCGTCGCCGATTTTATTATGTCATCGCGATTTCTTTCAATCATGCTCATGAATACATCTGCTAGCAAGGGGCGCAACGGGCTACCCATACGCTCCTTCTTGAAAGTAAAACTTGACGTTCTTCGTCCACAAAAGAAGTATGTCCTTCAACCTTTCCGGAGGAAGCCGTACTTTGATATCGTTTTGCTAGATAAATTCACATTGCTCATCCACGGTTTCCCTCAGCGGAATGTTGGTGAGTAGCGACTGCACATCAAGCGAACACATTCGCTTTCCAGTCAAGTTTATTCTTTCCAAATGAGGAAGCAACTCGAAAGTGTTTGACAAACTGTGTTTTTCCATGGCTTTTCCCCCCGGCTCAAGGATGTTGTTCAACCATTTAGCGAAGACGTGGTAGGGTGAGTTGATCATGAACGTTTTAATATCACATTACAGTCATCGGAAGAACCTTCTCATCCTTTGTGATCCCATTTCTACTCGGCCCTCACATAGTACACTCTTATTTTTGATGTCTGCTACACGAATCTGTCATATATGCATCGTCCTTCGTATGGACTTCTTCGATTTGCATTGAAACAATGTATTTTGTTCGTTCCTATACGATCTCTATACTCGAACTCACCTACCAATATATCAACATGACATACTTTGCGATTACCTACCGTTCTCTTACTTTGTCCCCACAAACGTTTGTAGACTTCCCCTTACCGTCCGTCAGTTTTTACCACATCCACCTATCGTTTCATTCGTTTTCAGTTCCCTTTAATCAACAGACTGCGTCACCCACTCCCGGTGACTTCTTCCATTCGGGTCGATGTGTTCAAGGTTTCTACGAATATCGCAACCGGTGCATCTCACTCTCCACCACTTCGTTTGCCTCGAATCGAAGTTCCATTTACCATCGTGATGCAATCAGCAATCTGTGCTCACGCTCGACTGTGACCACATGTGGCACACCCCAGTCCACTTGGGGCATAACCCCTGAGTGTTCCGTGGTCACTGCTCCGGACACACTGGCGGACACTGCGTTCATGCGCACTATGTTACGTACCTTCGGCTCCGGCGCGAAGGAGGCTTGGGTCGGTCTGAAACTGAATGTGTCTGAGGGGCCGGTACGTTGATCCAGCAATTTCGTTGACAGTTTTCTCTTTGAATTAACCTTATCACAACTGTATAACGGATGCTTGCAGCCACCGCTGTAACTGAACAACTAGATTTCATGCAAATTGCAATCCATCTTCCTCTGCCATCCACTGAATCCAAGTAACTTCCCGAGCAGTTACTTTCGGCATCAACAGTCGACTTGCTACCGTGCACGTCAAAACTTTTGGTCTACTTATTGCCATTCTTATGCTCAACGAACTCTAAACTAATCACGTTAGTATGATCTTGTTGGAATACCATGTTTTTCTCATTCTTTTGTATTGCGGCACAATAACTGAGATGTATCCCACTTGCAGCTAACGTGTACAATGATGATGATGATGAATATCATTAATAGTGGGAAGCCCTACTTGAGGACATTGTCGCATGTGACAATGAAGTATCTCGGTGCTCCCACTGTTCTACTCCCCTATCGAGATTCTGATTAGTATGTTTACTCAGGTGGACTTCTGACCTACTGTAACCAAATTTTAGGCATAAAGGCTAGAACATATTTTCTAAGGACTTCACCGAGGGACACGTGCAGGGTTGTGATGCATTCACAACTTTCGGCGTCTGAGAGCGAGTTGTCTCCGGATTATCATGTTCGTGCTTTTCCCTCCAAGAGCTTCGCCATCTGTGAATGTCTGAACGATAACAGTGTGGAACGCGACTCACGCGACCTTTCTCGTGACTACAGCCATCGTTTTGCTCATGTGTGGTCGAGAGTGAATTGTGCTTTCCGCAGCAATCTCTAACACCTTTGAACGAGTAGACAATTTGGCTACAACCATGGCTCTTCTAGGAATGCACACTGAGCCTTTGCTTCTTAAACTAATATCAATGAGCTGACTAACATCTATCTACTCACTTCCGTTTCCGAAACAAATTTCTCTTTACGTATGGATAATTGGTCACTCTAGCGCCTTTAAAATGCACAAGTCATCGCTGTGCTTTCCTTTCTCTCCCCATCACTGTTTCTTTCCTTTTTCTTAGTTTCGAATTGTGTCGGAGGATGTTGCAGCTCCTAGTGTTTCCCAACTGCAAACTCTAGAAATCGATCTGTCTGCATATCATTCATTTCGATCGGGTACACAGCGCTTTGGCTGCGTGATCTTGTCAACCATGGTTGATCACTTAACTACAGTGAATTGTTCAAAAACGGGACTTCCCTTTTTTTGCAGCTACTCCCTCGGTAAAGTTCACTTTCGCACCGTTTTGCTTCTCTGGTTCATCGCTGTTCTCTGTACCACTTCAGCTTCCATTCTAACCTTTTCATCAGCGCCCACCTGCTACCTTGCAGAAGTTATTTTTCTTGTGTTTTTGGCCACATTGCGTTCTCTGGGTCTAGTGACCTTGTAGTTCGCACATATTAGGTAACCACATATGTGTGAAACGCTGCAACCGATGTGTTTCAATGCAATACGTTTGGATAATCGTAAACACGTAAACTATTGGGGTGCTTGATTTCTTTGAAATGGGATGTCGCCTTCCAGTTATTGAGCGGGAGATTCCTAAATGCAGTAGCCAAGTCGTTCCCTGCTGCCTACCTGCATGTTGTTACAGAAACTGCCCCGGTCATGTCCGAACCTATATAATATACCCAGGACACATCACCGCACGCTTGGCTAATCGGATAGCAGAACATTGTCCATCGGCATTATGGAAGCGCATATCTAGACATATCAACAGCTTTAGTATGGAGCATCTAGTCTAAAGCATGCATCAAATTGTAACCTCAGAAGCTTTTAATGTTTTCTACACCTCGCCAAAACGCTACTCAAAAGGGATTACAAAGCGCTTATTAATGACGGCGGAATCCATTGCGATCCGGCTAATGCAAACGGAACTATACAAACAGAGGACGTTAGTGTAGATGCTACATTAGCCCTTTCCCTCGTTTCACCGTGAGCGCCGTTTAATTCGATCCCAGACGGTGACCCCATGTGCATCGGTATCTTCATCGATTGGAGAGTTTGATCAACTAGCCCAGCTATCTTAGCCTATCACAATGTCAACCATTTTATATATGTATTATCCCGAAGAAAATTATCAAAAAGAAGTTTCTTCGCCGATTTGAATTCTTATTTGGTTTTTGTTATGCGTTAAGAATGGGACCCTGGAAATGGAAAATAAATCGCCAGCTATACGTCGTAAGGGCGCTCCTCTGCCACGCGACCACCACCAGTCGCGCGCGGGCTGAGTATGTCGTGAGGACGCCCACCCCTACGCGGATTCGAACCGGTGACCCTATGGTTGTAAACCAGGCGCGCAGACCACTCGGCTACCGACCGACGGCTAGAGGAGTATACTAAGCGGAATAAGTCGAGGCCAAGAAACTCACAAAACACATGTCATTGTTGTCCGTTCTTCGCTATGTCTGCAAGTTTATCTGATCAGACATGTTCAGCGTCTTTCTGACCCCAACCGAGAAATCGGGAGGCTCAAACCGACGCGAACTTCGAAATGAGAGCCCACATTTCTATTGACTAAGTTATCGGCTGTCCACTTCTCATCTTCTTTCCACACCCCGGCGACACAAACGACATGCGTAACGACAGTTGGTGTTGTTGCATTGATAGCACATGGCCTAGACATCAGAGTCTGTTGCGCGAAATATGAGTATCGAGCGGTTCACTTCCTGCATAATAAACACATGGCGATTCCGGGGTGCATACTGGGCACACATCGTGTGATGATGTGAGTGTTCTACCTTTGACTCCTGCGGCACTTCTTGACTTCGATGCGCCTCGGATTTCCTAACCTCCACTGTCGGCATTCGCTATTCTTCGTCCATCTATCCGTATTATGTACCGCCACGAAGCTTTGTGCTCATCCCTATTATCCATTTGACTACCGGTTCCTTTATGATTTAGCTTATGGGCACTGGATGAGCCAATTACATGTCTCTTTTTGGGCCTTGGGATTCCACAGGGCTTTGAGTTATGTGAAAGAAACTGGCTGCCATGAGGTTTGTTGAACTGAGTGAATTTCCTTACAACCACTTCACTCCATGATCTTTGAGACAACGGTTCTCCCATCTGATCTGTGCTTGAAATTTGCATGTTCCCTTTCTCAGAAGTCAGCAAATGTTTGCTAATCCATTGTGCGAACTACTCCAAGCTAGCATTATAACAGCACCTATGATTCTTAACTAACCCACTGTATTACCCAAAAACTACAACCTTTGTTAATACATGTTCACCTCTTCCGTTTTGTACGCTTTTCGCAGACGCTCAATCACTGCATCTACAGAGTACCCTGCCACCTATTGAGAGATGTCCACCCAACTGGACTGTCTTGCGCGGGAATTGCTTCCGGTTTGTTGGCATCCTCGAAAGACTAAGCTGGGAAGAGGCAGAGAAGCATTGTCAGTCGCTAGCGCAGGGCTCTCAGTCGATCACCGGGCACCTCGCCTCTGTGCACTCCGCGGCGGAGCAGCGTTTCTTATCTGACTTGGCTCCTGCTTCATCCTATTGGATTGGACTCCGCGTCAATCCCCGTGAGCATTGTTGCTTACACGCACTTGCCTCTTGTATTTTGTGTCATTTGTTATCAGCTTGGGAGCGTGTGTCGCATCGGCCCTCACCTGAATGAATCTTCCTTCATTTATGAGCACATTTTCCTCGTTTACTTTTACATGTGTTAGCCATCAGCGTGTTGCCAGATCTCCCACATTTAACGGTGACTGAATCCTACTTCCCATCTCAGGCGCCGAGCCACCTAACTCAGGCCGGAATGTTAAGAGAAAGTGGGACAGGTACCTGTGGCCTGAGCTGCGATCGAAAATATTGTATTCACAAACCGCACTTAATTGTTAATCGTTTATTCATCACAACAGCTTTATACTGGCTAGGTCTTGTCATCACTTTCTATACTCCCCTCCTCATGTTTAGTGGCCGGCACGTGGTCTTCCTCCGCATCGTGCTCAGCCCAACCCATCTCTGCACAGTCCGGAGCCAAGTTTAGCTTTATCCATGCTGAGCCACCCGTTCATGGTCAGACCGCGTGGGCGACACTCCATTTGTATTCTGTCCACTGGTCCCTTGTCGTCTCTGTTGTCTTAATTTACCTACCGCCATCACTCCCTATTGTCAGTCTGAGTTCGTTCGTCCGCGCGTGCTGTTCGCTCTCCGTCATCTGAATCTATCTGCCCCTCTTGCATCTGAAACCACGCAGCGTTTCGTTCTTACTGTGCTAAATCACTTCTTCCCATGCAGTTATGGCCAACCCACTTAGACAGCGTTTGACTAAACTTCTATCTATTCGCTCCACCTAGGATCCCTTCTTGCAAACAGCCAGCTGCCATCGCAGGTGTCTTCTGGCCTGCATGTTCAACCATCCTCTAACTTCGCATCCTTCACTAATGGAGAGTGCATTTAGTTCACTTCGGTAGAACTGATGGATTTGTGTGCGCTGTATTATTCCTTGGCTTATTGGAAAGTCAGGTTTGAACACACGGTCGCGTGACTGTGTAGGGACACTTAATCTTACCTATTCGTGCCACAGTTGGATTATTTCTACCCATGCGACTGTTCTCTACATTGTGAACTGACAACACCAAGGTTCTCGTTATCTCCGTTTATTCCCTTCTTACGTCATGAAAGCTCAGTAATGCGTGTGTCCCTTTTAACGTGTCTGTCGTTTGTTGCACACCTTCCGGTGGTCTTTTTGGTGTCTTGTTGGTCTTACTAGACCGTATGTCGCGTCCAAAGAGCTACCGTCGTAGGTAGTCACGGCATTAGCCAGCTGGATGGTTCGGATTAATCCCGCTCCAGCTAATAGTTCGGTGGCAGTGTTCCAGGACGCCTGGCAAGCGTCCTCCCTATAAAAAGCCACAAATGTCTGTTTGACAACACTGTGACGTGGCGGATGTGACTCGCCACTAAATAAAGTCACTGCCTCTTGCGTTATCGGAGGATCTAACCTATTTCGCGAACATCAACCACTTAGCAGATTTCATCTGATCTCTTCCTATATTGACGAATATATTGAACCAACTCACAACTTCACAGTAATGGTAACAACTTTACTCAACGCGATGACTTACACATGCACCCACATACATAGTACACCTACATCAACATATATCCAGTATGTGCTGGTTAACTTGTAACATTCCTGTACCATTACTGATGTTACCCGTTTACATTACCATGACCGTGCATTTGAAGCCGTGTCTCGCACCATTTAGAATTATTTATCTATTTATTCACTTGCGGTGAAACATGGTCGCAGTTCATTGGGCTTTCGGGTAGTCTCATGCTTGCCCACATCACCTATCTTCGATTCTCCCTCGTTATCAGCCCCTTTGACGTTCTAGTAGCATACGTAAAGAGCGCGGGAAAGTTTGGTGTGGTGTCTCGCGTTCGGTCAATGCTGTACATCTATTTGTTTCTTTCCGGCTTATCTCTTTCACTTCCCCTTCATCCCACCCATCTCCGTTGCAACCACCTTCAGTTCTGCTGTCATCCGCGCTCTCCCAACTCCTCCGTATTTATTTCTCTTGGAGCGATCGGTCACCGATTGATTATCTGGCGATTCCACCGGACCCGTTCGAACCCGATCGTAGTGTTGAGCTCTGTTTCTCTGTACACGGGCCTGATGCCTATTGGCGACCGTCTGAGTGCTATCAACCACGCCCCTTTATGTGTCAGCTCACTTTTGGTGACCCAATGGAACCCGACTCCAAACGGAACGCTATCACCGCATTCGACGGTTCGTTCGTTTGTTTGTTTTTCATTTGTTGCGAACTGATGCAAATACATAAATAAACTTTATTTTTGACTGTGCGAGGTACGCATGTGGTGGTGAATGAACGAATGCCACGATCGACCAAATGAATTTCTTGGGCCTTACGTTTCATTGTGTCGCCATGCGCGCCCTCATCTTATGGCGGCTCTAGCTGTTTGTGCGTGATCGGTCTTCTCATATTTACCACCACAATTCTTTTGTACTCAGCTACTTTACAATGCTCTTACATTGAGTGTCATTAGAATTTGGAATTCAAGACTGGACAACTAGCTTTTTCAGTTATACTATAATACTTAGCCTGTTTTGACCCGACGGCATGAGCATCACTCTGGTGCTTGCAGCGCACTTCTCCCATTCACAGCCTTCTATGTCCAGTGGTTCTCGGTATCTGGTGTCACATCTCCTGGATATTGCTCATCGCACCGCAAGACGATGACATGCACAATCTCTCCTAACCCTTCTTTTTAACTGCCCTGTGCAGTTGACTGGCCTAGACAGACCTAGTTAAGTCAAGTGTAGTTGTGACTTCCTTAGACTTCTCTAGTATTCACGCAACAATTGTTACAAAAATTTTCCATCTTCCTACGGTGCTGAGTCCAAGAAACTTCTAACGTCTCTCCACTCACCTTTAGTGTTAGCGCAAAGCGAATTAACCAACGGACTTGGACGTATTGCATCCGCGACTACTAACGTCCAGGAATATTTCTTACAGCATAGACTGGAATTACATTAACTACTAACTTAGCAGCGGCACTAAATCGTAAACCTAATGAATCTGCAATCTTGCCCAATCCATCCGATGCACCTTTCCCTCATCCCAGTGTCATTTCACTATGCAGGCCGGAATGGCACTATTCGTGATCTTCCTGAATATGCATTGAACCTTTGGTCGTTGGCCTCATAATTTGCCCTTGCTTAAACTTAAATTACTTGAGTTACACCATCCAATTCTGGCTTGGTTTATTTCCTTCTTCAGTGCACACATACACTGTCTTACTAAATCTTATCTGCTTCATGCCAATCACCGATTGGGCCGTGAATCCAGTTGTGATAACTTGCCCCCGCGTATATTCACTCAAGGGACTTGATGAGAACACAGTGATAGTAGAGGTGTTGGGCTGAAGGATCGGCAGTCTGAGTCAAGAAATTTCGCATTCCTCAATTCACCGACCATTTGTGCTCTCTGTTTTCTCCCTGACAAATTGCCACTTTTTTCCCTTACTAACTGCCCTGTATTTCTATCTTTCTAGTCGTCACGGGGTCACCCAACCCCATGCCGGCTTGCGACTCACACTTCCCGCTGAAATCAGTCGCCGGCTCAAGTTGTTATCGTCTTTTCGAGACCGACCTTGATTGGGCCTCCGCGGAAAGTGTATGCCGCGATCTGTACGCTGGCGCGCACTTGGCTTCTCTGCATTCCATGCAAGAAATGAATCAGCTGGTAGGCCACTTTTGTTTATCTGTACGGTTTACTAGTTCAGTAGCCCGACTCTTACGAAACCTGATGCAATAGTTTAGAGGTTCAACCCTCAATTGAACCCGAGGAGTCGATGCACACTCGTTAATTTGTTTCAGCACACTTCATTTTGCACAACGTTCCATCGCTGTTAGTATTGTCGACTATTCATGCACGCCTCTGTGCGTTGGTATTTGGCAACACGTCTACCTGGTCAGCACTGAGTTGCGTTCCTACTCTATCTGGATGCGCTTCATAGTACGAGTGTAAGCCAGTTATAAACGCCTATACCCTTACAATCGCTGTTATCCTCAATTATCTGAGACCTGTGCTCTAGCGAGACTGACGTTTTGACATCTGCCACTTTGCTCGTCTAACAGGATCTCGAGTGCTATCCATGGCGGTACTCTCGGGGAATAGTTGGCCATTTGAGGTAATTCTATTACCTGGTCACTCATCTTGTGTATTGTATCGCAGTGAGCTGCTTCTAATTAACTTAGTATCTTGAACTATCTTCGGTATTGATCGATGACTAATAATTTCATAAGATTTTGAGGACAGCGTTTCATGAGTTTACACTGAAGCGAAATCCGGCACCTGCGCGGGATCATTTTCTCGTCGCATACCAGGTTGTTCCTAAGCGATGTCATTCATTCACACACCGAAGCTGTCCAATTGTCTCTCATGCGTGGTACTCCGAAAACCTTTTTTTCTTTTTTATCTCGGTGTTTTGATTATTGCTCTTTGTCACTGTGCGCAGTTTTGTGGTGTTGTCCTCAGGCCACGCACTTGTTGTTGTGTTTTCTGTCGGCCCTGGGGCTTTTCTGACTCCGGTCCACAGTGAGTATGTCTACCGTTTTTACATCTATATCTTGCTCAATAGTATTGAGCAAGGTCGTGCATGCGAGTTTCTTGTGATGATTCATCGATTCCATTTTTTCAGGCAGATTTTCTGCCTCTGTACTCTTGGGTTTCACTGTTACCATCCCAATATTCATCCCTGCGCAATGTTTTCTACCTCCTCCTCATGGTTCGTGAGATACTGCTATTTTCATCGCTTTACTGTTTACTTCAATTTCTCTTAAGGCTCTTCTACTGGCCAATAAGACTAAGGGCGACGTTTGGATCGGGCTGTATGAATCGCAGCTCGCCTACGCGTGGTCAGACAGCAGCCCAGTGAACTTTATACCGCTATCTGCTGATCGTAGCAAAGATGCGCGTCACCTGTCGCAAGATTGTTTCGTTCTCTCCACTTCACCGAAAACAGGTTAGTCCTTTTTTCAAATCTCTGTGCTAATCATGAACCTTCAAGTTAGACTGGCAACTCCCAGTATTCATCCCATACAATTCATGTCGATTTCACACTGTCCAGGTCCACTTAACCATCCCATATGCAGTAACAACAAGTAATGATCACTTCCACACGATTTCGGGATGAGTTTTCAATTATCCCATGTCATCATCGTCGGTAATCTGTCGAAAGAGGAGTTGTCCGGTCTAGGTATCGCCTCAGCCAACTCACAAAGCACTCCGTTGCTACTGCTGCTTGTGATGATGATGACGAAGACACTGGTCCTGTTGACGAGGAGGAGGATCATCTACACTCAAAACTTCAACAGTTTATAAACACTTTTTCGTAATGACCTCAGTCAGTCGTTTTCCCCTCCGTTCTGGATTTGCGCGTCGTGCTATAATTGTCACGGGATATCCGTTTCCATTGGGTTTCAATTTTTCAGTGCCACTAAATAATTGTAACAACACAGGAATTGAGGTTCAGTTCGAAAATTTGCATGTCCGACTGTCCAACTTGACCCCAGCCATCGAAGATTCATGCTGTTGGTTTAAGGCTAAGGCGGTGGATTTAGCTAACCGATTTCTTGTTGCTGTAATCGAAACATGCAGGTCACCTGGATACGTGGTAATACTGAATCCTGACAAGGGAGCAGGCGTAGTCATTTTATAAAAGTAAGACTGTCCGAAATGCAGTCACTTCTTGCAGATACTAGCCGTGAGTCGATAAGTCCGGACAGAACCGAGCAAGTTGAAATGTCTATAGTTTGTGAACTTGAAACGCTATTGAAAGTTGCATTGATTGAGGTGAAAACCGTGACAACTGCGCGTATACGAAGCTCGAATTCCCCCTATGTACCGTTTACTAAAGACTCAAAAACAACGTTATCCTGCGTCCAACCGTCCCAGTGATAAACGCATGGTATCAAAAGCTGGCACGATGGCTAGCTCAGGCTATCGGGCCTATCCAACGTGAGGTAACTGGACACACTATCAAACATACATGTGAATTTGCCGACAAAACACGAGGTTTAAACGTAGCAAGGAAACACTTGGGTTATTTTGATCTGTGCTCATTGTTCACCAACATTCCACTGGAAGAGATAGTAAATGTCATCGGGGTTCACGCTGACAAAGTGAGATTTCCGGCACCTCACCTTAAGCTACTATTACGATGACTTGATCAAGAGGAATTAAGGTCCTTGCTTCCAACTTGTCCTCGGTTGAACCCTCTCGGATTCCTGGTTTGGGTCCGAAAGACGAAATCGTTTGGCTTGCCCACTTGTTTACATCACTAGGAGCCGATCTCAGTGGCATTTGTGCTGTGAGTTTCTTTGTCCCTCCCCTCCCACTTAGTTTCCTCTTCGAACCACGATCTCATTTCTAGCATATCATAAATGTTTGCATAATAAACCTCTTTTTGTGACGCAGTACCGGCTGGTAGCTTTCCGGAACGATGCCCATCCGTTACTGTTGGCTCAGCTGGCATGCATCTGTTGCAGGTTGTTGTTTCTTTTTATTTTCCTATGTATTACAGCACTGGAACGGAGATGTTTTCCACCTCTGGCTGACGTGTTTAAGACTGATGCCAATGACTGCGATTATACACAAATGAAACTCAGTTCCAATTCAATGGAACAATCTATCGTCAAATTGGTAGTGTGACCCCATTGGCAGCCCACCTGGTCCAGTCCTGGCTGATATTCTCATGGGCCACTTGGAGAACACTGTACTACGTAACAAATGTGCATGTGGACTGTAGATACCTTGGCAAAACGTTTGTTATGCTTGATACCACTCGACAGGCAACATCCCTACCGGATGTTATAAACGCGTGCCACCCTGCAATCAAATTCACCATGCAAAGTGAGATCTGGAACACCCACCATTTTAGAATGTAAAAGCAGAGCGGAATCCCGGCGGCACACACTCGATCTGTGTATCGCAAGCCTAGTGGAACGGTACAGTATCAACTTCAACGGTTTTCATTTTAAAAACTATAAATGAGCATTGCTTCGCACCGCCTTCGTGAAAGCTCGTAAAGTTTATTCTGAAATTACTCTTTACACTGAGCTGGAACACGTATCATCAGCACTACATGAAACCGGATACTCCGAGAGATTCATAGTACGACACACAAACAGGGAAAGCAGTGAGAAACGACTGCCTGACGTTCTTCCGAAAAAGGTGCTTCTTACGATACCCTTTAAAGGTAACCAGAATGACATCAGCGATTTAGGCCTGCGAATCTAGGTGATTGCTGATGGGTGTTTTTCTAGCCAGCCTTCATCGTATCGTTCATCATTGCATCTCTCTACTGAACTGTCTCCTGCTTTGAATGATTTGTTTATTGGTGCGACTTTGAGCTAACTCGTGCGCTCACCGAATAATCAACACTGAATTTGGTACTAGGCTGTCTAGTGTTTCACTGGAGAGTGGTTGTTAAACACGGACTACCTTCGGTGGCTCCGTCATGTGTTCCAAATGTCGGCCAGCTAGTTGCCTCTACTTTTGTTGTATTTTAATGCGGCTCTTATTTGGGTGAGGCTGATGGCCGGAATGATTACGCGTTCGCCTTGTACTCCGGAGGTCACCGCTTCGAATCCGAGTAGGTGCAGATGTCCTTACTGTATATTCACTCCACGCGCGACTGTTGGTGGTCGCGTGGCAGCGAAGTATCGGTACGATGTGCGTAGTAGTACTAATGCCGCTCTCTCTCACTTTGCCTACTTGGATGAGAACCCGAGGTGAGCAGTCAATAACATAACAAAGTGCATAACAGAACTCGCCGTAGACCGAGCCGGATCGATATATGTTGTGTTCCCTGACGGGGACCTCCGTATCGGCTACGTCAGGGACTATATACTCTGTCAGACATGGCAGGATCGCGAACTCTGTGGGCCTTTTGCAACTGTTTCCTTAGTTCCGGCTCAGGACAATTCCATCCGATTTTGCTTTCTACCGGTTTCTCTTGCATTACTTAACGACGTGTCATGACTGTGTGATACACCGCATCTCATTACACGGTGCTAGCTGAGAAATTGAACTGTACTTACCGTGGAAGCCGATTGACATGTTCAACTGAACCACTCATCTCATCTTTTGCTTCTTGAGGATATTTCTCCCTGGACGCCTAACTCTTTCCATATTCCATCTCATTTATCTCACGCATTAACTGTGCTCTCACAGCCCACGAAACTGTAACCGCATGGATGTATTTTTTCCTTTTGAGCTGTTCTGTTCTCTCACAGCTGGCGATCTCGCATTTAACTAGTGTCCCTACAATCCACGAATTTTCAATCTAATCTCTAAAAGGATTGGTTGCGATTTCTCTATTTTCTCCATGAAAGATTTTGTCACCTTGAAGGCCGTCGATTGCAAAAGCAAGCCTCCAGCCTTTGTTTGCCAGCAACGACCTTCCGTTGCGCCTCCTGTGTCAGACGCTTCTTCTTGGACGTTTGTGTTGTGTCCACCGGGATATCACCAGTATGGCGATCGCTGTTTTTCCGTGAGTCTTTCGCAATTTGTCTGGTATAAAGTTCATTGAGAACATTTCTTTATGCTGTGTTCTATCTTTGAAAACACTCTGTCGGAACTTGCCCTAAGTAGAAATTTTACATATCTATCAAAAATGTTTTGGATCTTTTCCAGATTATAAAAAGGGACGATATGGAACTTGAACTTTTACTCTCTATTGAAGAGTGTGAAATTGAGACAAGTCATTAATAATTTGCATGAAAGGTCCATTTTTCGGTGTCTTTGCCTCCAACCGAACTCACACAGGTAGCTGACCACTAAAGATCGGTGTGTGCCGCATTGGCGCTTATTCTGCATCTTGTAAATGTGCCAGAGAGATTCGATGGTTTGTGTGTGAGCTCCAGTCGTTGGATCCACAAAGTTTTCGGTATGATTAACCGTTTGATGAGTATAACTCATGCCAATCATCGATTCAATGCCTTGGTATGATGCCCACATATCGGAAGTGATAATTGAGCCGGGAGCGATGCAGGCCTGGATTGTGTCCAGCAGAGTGGCCGCAGTTCGATCTGGCACTCCATACAAGAACACTTCTTTAGTCTCCCCGCAAATCCCTCCGAAAATCCACTGCTGGGGAAGGACTCGCCCTGCATGGTTTTTACGACGTAATATTAGGGTTTCATCGATCTCGACATGTAGACCTGGGCCGCCGTCAATCGTTGGAGTCTGCAAAAGCTGCCAGGCGCAAATTCCACGCAGAAAGTTCTTCCAGTCGACGGCGGTCGCGTGGCCAATAGATAACTCATCTGAGCAGAATTTGATTGTTGTCAGATTTTTGTACCAGCAATAAATGAATAGGATTATTGTCCTGAAATCCATCCTAGACCGCTGCAGCCAAGTTCCCTTTCGAAGACCGATTTCTTGCCGACACTGTCGGGCATCACACCTCCACCTGTCAGAAACAGTTGAAAGTGTCATTTGGTGTCCTCGTCTGCATAAACGTTGATGATGAATCACTCCATGGCATTGCAAAAAGCGTATTGCTGTTTCCTTGTCATGAACGACCGCCGAAAGCGTCAGAAAGTTCATGTCAGGTTTTACGTGCGAACGTAGAAACTTTTTGGACAAAAATGACCTTAGAAGCGGATAAGGAGTGTTTTTATGGGGCACGTTCACATGCATTAAGTACACTGGAGCTGGCAAACAGTGGCGGGGCTCAACTTTTCACGCGTGCCCTTTTTGCACTATTGGTGGGGCTTGACTTTTCAGGTGTACCCTTTTTGCATTAGTGGCTGGGCTTAACTGAAAAAGATCCCATGTTTTAACGGCAATTCTTCATCTTTCTATTCAGTAGCTTGTCGTTTCTCTCAGTAGTCGCCAACTCTATGGCGTCATATATTCTAGTTTAGACTGCATTTGATAAACTCGGTGGAACTGATTTGGGTCACTGCAAGTGTAAATCGTTGACACGTTCTCTTCGACAATGGATAGATGTTCCAAAATCCCACCGAAAATCGCTCAAGATTGAACTAGTTGACTTCGAAATTGTTTCCAAAGTCTACTCGAAAAGCTTGTCTTAGAGTCTGAGAGTGGTGTGTGTTCGAAACTGCGTAAGGACTGGACGACTGTCACAGTATCCTTGACCCATATGCAACTAGTGATGGTTGCGCGGCAGCGAAACGTCTGTACTACGTACCGGCGTACCACTGATGCCTTTCTTGAGAGGGTTATTAGAAGACCTCATTTCACCTTGTAAACCCAATTCAATTTACAACACCTTAGCTCCGCTAATGTTACTGCATAGATTAGAAAGCAGAATGTTTCTCACTTAGGGTATTCGTAGACTGATCATGTTTGATCATCGATTCTTATGGTGTGTTGCTCATGACTGATGGGATGCCCGATTAGACTCCACTGAATTTCGTCGTTTGATACATGGCAACAGACCCTTTCATTGGACTCGAAACGCCTCTAACCAGATCGTTCACTCCTTGTGCCTGCAAGTCGTTTACTGTTTGTCAATAATGCGCCTAGTTGGGGAAACTTCGACAGATGACTAACCAGTGGTGTGGCAAAAAGACGAGACGCTGAGTCTGTGTGGTGTTTGTTGTCTGATGGACACATTGGCACTTTTGACTTTTTTCTTTGTGTTTACATCTCAATTATTCTTGTTCATTCTTGTCGATTTGTTATTCTCACACTGTTATCACTACTTGTTATGACACTGTGCTTCAAGGCAACTGGATTATGCACACCTGGCACATGAATCGAAGTTGACAAGCTAAACGAAACGACCTGGCAACTAGCCTGTTGCCATCTGCGCGATTGTTTCTTCTCATTTGTTGGACACGGCCTCGTGCTCTTGTTACTTGTTCCAGCCTTCTCGTCACATAGAGACTGACCTGTGACATTTTGTAGCTTTTGTCTCATGTCCGAACTGATGGATGTATACCGACTGGTCTGATGTTGATCACACTTCATTCTGTCAGTCGATTCGGCCGGCCTCCGATTCACAACTGGTTGACACCTGTTGGACTTGGTTAGAAATATCATGAACACACGCTGGTGCACACCAGGTAACGAACTCAACCACTGGGTGATTCTCTCCTCTGACAACATTAGGCCAGACAGACACTACACATGCTCTCGCATTCTCGATGTATTTCGCCTCAGCTAACAAACACGGCAATTTGTCGTTGCTTTAGCGTTATTGTTCCACCATTTGGAGCACTTAATCGATGCGAAATATGGACGAGACTGTGATCGTTTCGGCGTGACAGTACACTAATCTTCTCAACTCTTGGGTACCTGACTATGAATTCCAAATTGCTTCTAGGGAGCCAGTGACCTACTATATAGAGCTGCACCCTGGCAACTATGCTGAGCCGAAACCGATGATGGGGCGGACTATGCTGGAAATTTCATGAACGCGGACACCTTGTTACGCCGCATCGCACCATCTCCCGTGTTCACCTCTCTCGTCCACTTGTTCATCGAAATGCTGGTCGTTCACGAACAGAAATTCTTCCCATTTGCTGCATCCAAAGCGTATCGTAAATCGCCTGCCTTCTGCTTAGTATTAGCTAAAGCATGTAAACCCATTGAATGAGCTGGCTACATTGAACCAGCAAATGGTCAATCGATGCCGTCGACTCGTTAAAACACAATGTCCAGTAGTAGCTCGCTAGGCACGTTGGTGACAAACAGTCGGGTCGCACAGTATCTCACATGCTTACTTTAAATTCACTCCAACTCCGTTGGTGGTCGTATCCTACCGCTTAAGTGTAGACGAATGGTCGCCGCGTTGTGAGTCTCATCTAATTGAGTACACTCCGAGTCTAGAAACTAACAAATGTCTGAGATGCCAGTTACTTTGTTCACTCCTATTCTAGCATTTTCTTTTGCTCATGTAATGGGCCCAAATTGACACTTGAATTTTTGTGCAGCCTAACATCTTTTGGAGAACGACTATATCTCAATCTGCTGCACGATTTCTTAGGAATGTGCACGCACACTCTTCTGTCTTTCTCAATACTGGCCCAACTTTCGTTCAGGATGTACATATAATCAAGTTGACCACTCCTAGCAATGCAACCTGGTTCTTAGCAGACAGACAACTGAATTTGCGCTTTACAGTCAGTCGATACTTTTTTGTTGACGTGGCTCACATACCAGTCAGTCTGCATTCGATCTTTCTAATACACATCGCATTTCGATTGAACCATGTTCGCCTACTTCTTTAAGTGGCAACACATTAGCCCTTACCGAGAAGTCGCCCGGACACAACTTTGATGACTTTGCCCGATGGCTTTATTCCACTTCCCGTTTCCATCAACTCGCTCGTCCTCTTCTGGCCCGATTAGTTTCATTGTGTGAGCTAGAGATGATCTGTCTGTCCGGCGGATGTCAAAGGAATCTTCGTTTGACCTCCAGTTTTACCGGTTGGGACCATCAATGAGTCGTAAAAATATCCTTTGGTTATACACTGCGCTCTCCGCGCTGGTTGAACTACACTCTCCTCATGTTTGCCGCTCATCTTTGAGGAGTGTGTTGTTCTTTCACATCAAATCTAATCTGGTGAATTCCATAACTGGTCAGACGTGCACATGGTTAGAAACGCACGACGCAAGAGACCGATAAGTTTCGGTGCATCACAGATAAGACAGTTAGTAGTTTTGCACACAGTTTTTCACCTTTTTACCCGATGCCTGTTAGATTTTCTCTCCGCACCTTTCCCCAACTGGTTTCATCGTTCGCATATGCTTTTTGTTTCAACGAGGGCACCCTACTGGACAACCGCGTCCGCATCGCAGTTGGCTGGTCCGGCTGAATTACTAGCTGCTGCTGCTGCACCGTTTTGAGGATCTCACTGTAAACCACTGTTGTCTGGGGATTGAGCAAAAGGAATTCACATTACAGTGCTTTGTGGACCAACCAACACTATTTTGTCTATTGTGACTTGTTTCGCTCAATACATTGGATGCATCCATATTGCTCCGATATAGGCAGCTCAGACCGGGTTCAACTCTAGCATGGTTATGCATCCGGAACGACTATCTTTTCTCCCAATTTGGTCAAAACTCTATATTCCGGTAACGTGGCGATCATTCAGCCTTGTATCTATCCATCTTTTCACCTCTGGGTTACATCATCCGCGGACGATTTTTCTGACTGATTCGGTCAACTCGACTCGTTTTTCTCTACCATGCACTTGTTCCACATAGCCCGCGGGCTTTTATTCCCACTGCTGTCAACATGATCTCAGCCATCTTATGTAGATTGCATGGTTCAGCATGGCTCTCAATATGTCTTAATCTTTTCAACTGGGTACCGTTCTTTAGCGAGTCGAATCGTCTAACATCCTTTGTTACGCTGGTGACACGATCGCCTAACTTCTAAAACCGATAATAACAATAAACTGGCTATCGACAGAACACGAATAAATATACTCTGATTGGAAAATCCGGGTTAACCAGTTAGCTATAGTGAGTACCTCCATGCTTGACACTTTGGGTAACAGCATTTTCGGTTGAGTTGTTCCTATTCTGATGGATATGCCATTCCAACTTTTGTCTGAACTACTTCACGCGCCTCAGCTACGCTCTTCACCCGTGGTCTTTTATTTTTAGTTGCCTGAACTGTCTGACTTTTCCTTCGATTTCATGTCACCTTTTCCATTAATTTCCCATATTTTACACAACGTGATTAAAGATGTTGCCATGACACTACGAACCCTGTATGTTTTGGCTACCCGTGACAGTCCTTCCACCTGCTCACCCTTGCTCAGTTGTACGTGGTTCATCTAACACACTCGCTTTTACCGTAGAACACTAGCCATGACGCAATCGATGTTGTGTCCTTGCATTTTCGTCCCTTTATCTCTCGTGTAGTGGCACAGCTTCTCAACCTTGTGTGTTTAAAGTGGAATCACGGAACCGTATTCCCATTTATACCCTGCTGTAGGACCGATATCATTTTGTATGACGCGTGCTTTTGGCCCATCTACACTCCGACAATCGTTGTGTCCATACTTTTCTTTACCCGATCAGTTAATAACGGCTCTGACCGAATACCAACATTGGAGCAGTCTCTGAGCTCATCTATTCTGGTCTAGATTCTATGCTTACGTGGGTGTTGTGATTCCCACCGTTTCTGTTCCCTCATTTATTTTATTCTGATGAGCAAGGTTGACACGAAAAACAACAAATCTCACAACTTCATCAGTCTCAGCATCGTTTAGAGAAGCATATTTTGCAGTTTTACTGTATCATTTCGCGGCTTGTTCTTTGAGGTATTCGATGGTGCGTCAAGACTCTGCTTACGTTGCTTTCAAAATAATTTCTGTCGGGCGACGATCAGTACTTGTGCTCAGTTGTTGGGGAGTTCTCCGAGCTGGGCAACTTGGTTGCAAACGTTTCGCCACCATTCGAGGTGGCATCTTCAGTGCGGGATTGATGGCAGTAAAGTAGCAGTAGCTGGTAGAAAGCAAACCCAAAAATGGATCCATTTTTGGGTTTGCTTTCTACCAGCTACTGCTACTTTACTGCCATCAATCCCGCACTGAAGATGCCACCTCGAATGGTAGATAAACTTTTGCAATGAAGTTGCCCAGCTCGGAAACTCCACGAAAACTGAGCAAGCCTCCCGAGCTACCAATATTCCAAATCATTTCGAGTACTTGCGTTGTTTGTCCGTTGATTATTCATTATTCTCGCTAAACTTCCCAGTCGCCATCTGTAGGAATTTTCACACACCGTTCTTTTTTATTTTACTCTTTACCTTAACTGTGATTATTATGTTTCCTTAGCTGTACCTTTGGCGTTGTTGTTGTTGTTGTTGTTTCGTACACACTGCTCGCGTTCTTGCGCGTCTCTCTGTTCTGTTCGTTTTCTCACTGAGGCGTGGCAATGTCACTCTCTGCGAAGCGAAATTTAGTTTGATTCAACTAGTCAGCTGTGCTCTGTAATCTACCTTTCGATTAATCTTGTTGTCTCGACTCACGTTACTGTACTAGCTTACTGATAAGGCCAGAAACAATGCTTCATGCTCGTCACTTACGTGGCAAGAGCTGGAAACTACGCTCCATAGGAATTTCCGCTCTTTTGCGTGATATATCTCAATGACCCCATATTCAGGAATACGATGGGCACTGATCGCTTTCTTCTGGTCTTTTGGAAATTTCATCGACTTGTCGCCGGCATTCGACTAACTGTGCGCGCTGTCAGCAGACAATGCACATGGGGCTAGCGGGTTTACAAGCCTGTGGAAGATGTGCTCCGTAACCAGCGCAGGCATTTGGAATTCAGTAAGTACTTCATCGTGGTAGGATTTCAATCTGTACTCGGTCATCGACCGGCAGATCTTTTCCTTAGTCATCATCAGCGATACTTAGGTATCGGTTGTCCCAAACACCGCTGAGCACATCAGATTCTGGCCGCACATCCATTGATAATTTGCTCTTTTTAAAAAACCACTACTTTTTGGTTATAGAAATCGCCACGTTAATTTGATCACCAACGATAGCTTCATTACCGATTTGAGTGAGCCGATCGATCACTATAAGTGGCCGATCGGTAGTCGTCTGAACTGGCGACATGTCAGCCCAGGCATGCGATACTGCTTCACATGTTAAGATTCAAAGCAACATCCGACTTTTACCGTTTTTAGTATTAATCCGATTGACAGCCCTTTTAGATGAATTATTTCATCTTTCTCCAGAAGATCATTTGCGCTTGTATCCAGTATGATGCTCTCGTCTAAGTGGAAGAGTTATCCGCAGTCAGTTCTACGAGTTATTAGTGGTTCCAGTCTCCGTGATAACCCACCAAACACTCCAGTGCTTTCTCATTGCTTTTGGCCATTTCGGGAAACATTGTAAATTTTAGGTTGCATTGTGTGTGACGGATGAACCCTGGTGTTCGGATTAGAACCGAACTGTCGTGTGCCTTTTAAATAAATAAATGCTTTATTCTCTAAGGTGTGAGACACGCTTTCAAGAGCGCGATCATGGTAATACGAACGCGTAACATCAGTAATGGTACAGAAATGTTACAAGTTAACCAGGACATTTTGGATATATATATATATATATATATATATTGTATGCATGTGTAAGTCATCGCGTTGTGTAAAGTTTTTACCATTACTGTGAAGGTGTGAGTTGGTTTGGTGTATATGTCAATATAGGAAGGGATCAGATGAAGTCTGTTAGGTGGTTGACGTTCTCGAAATGCGTTAGATGTTCCGATAAGGCAAAAGGCAGTGACTTGGCGAGTCACATCCGTCACGTCACAGTGTTGTTAAACAGACATTTGTGGCTTTTTACAGGGAGAACGCTTGCCAGGCATCTTGGAACACTCCCATCGAACTATTAGCTGGAGCCGGAATAATCCGAACCATCCATCTGACATCACTTTCCGACTGGATAGTGCTAGACGCAGCTGATGCATATTCGCGCGAACCTATCATTCATTGTTCACACTATTCACGGTGCATTTCATCTGGCCATTTCTCCCGTCTAGTTTTCATCCCCGTTTGCTTTTCTCGCATATGACTAATATGGCCACGTTCCCCAGGTGCCAACCGACTCAGGGTTAGGGTTAACAAGAAATTATTTCAGTTGGATTTAGAGCTTCATTCTTTGTGCCACTCCTATGGACATGGCGCTATGATTTTGATTCGACTTAGTTACGATAGTATTACTCCTATCTTGATCACCTCTTCACGCACCACTGTACGCTTTCTTTATCGTTCTCGTGCTTTCCCTCTGTCCTCCCTTGGACAGCCAGCCATCTGTCTGCGACTTATGCATTATACCTGTTGCGTGCACACGCTTCGTTTCTTCCTTTGGTGGAAATGTCAAACAGCGTTGTCTAACTGTTTCCATCGAATTGTGGTATCATTTCCACTCGTCTGCACGCCTACTCTATGATGACCAGGCTCCAAACGTCACTGAATTTCCACTTTTTTTATTCCCCTCCCACGTCCTTCAGGTTTTATCTCAGTTGATGTCTTGGAGCGACGGAAATCGCACGTGCAGTGAACAGGCGATGGCGTTTCGCGGTTACTCTGGTTCACTGGCCCGCATCGAGAACGCTTTGGTTCAAGGTGGGTCTGTTGCACCCCACTTCCATCACAACGATTTGCTATCTTTCCACCATGGCTTGCTTTGCGTCGATGTTTCGCACATACTTGTGGCGTAGCAACTAATGCGGTCTACAGCCGGTCCCTTGCGTTCTTTACGGAACCAACACCTTTCAGGCATTCATCTCCCTTTGTCCGCATGGTCTTTGTGTCCGTGCCAGCAGAGCACTACCAGTATTGAGACGTCGTGTTCTTCGTTGTCTTCCCCTTTGGATCAGACTTGAATGATGTATGCTGGATGAAGATTTATTCCACCGATGAATTGGTATCCGTCATTGCGCTCAGCACATTTGTAGGCTTCCGAAATCGCCATCTCTATTACCTAAGCGGCTGCTAATGTTTGCCTGGTGAAATGCGGAGTGCCTAGCTTTGAAAACACTTTTGGCTTCAAGTGCTTCCATCACGGTGTAAGCACCCAATGTGCAATTGGAATTATTTATTGCCTCAGACGTCACTTATACCTGGTGCATCCGTTCCGATAAACGGGACATCCACTTATCTTCGCGATCCCTTTCGGAGGTTGCCTGACGCAATTTCTTTCTGTATCTAGAGGTTGTATGGTGTGCATTGCTTGTGTGTCCATCCCTCGTACGCACGCGACTGTGGTTCTGAAATGTTCCTCACCTTTAGGGGAGTCATTACGGTCTGCTTTTGACTAATTGCTGTTTCACATCCTTTCACCTGACTACTGATAACTGGCGCAGTAGTGTCGGCATTTAGTCCACCCCACTCCCCTCTAAAGTGCTCGCCCCAGCTGCCTTCGCTCGGAGTTTTTCTGATCGTCAGGGATCTTCACTGTGCGAAAGTGGCTCCTGTAACTTGTGCCACTTCCTCAACTCACTGACATGCACTAGCCACTAATCTCCTTGCCGAGCGATTGTATACACTGGGCCTCGCTGTTTGACCACCTCGTACGGCCCCTCCCGCTTCAGTAGGCGTTTCCTCTCTATTGTTCCACGCGTGGGAGCTCGTTTATGCTCCCTTTATTTCACCTTCGAACCGAGCCAAAACTCTACCCTCATTTCACCATTGTTGATCTGAAACTTCTCCATCCTCTGCTCCCAAGTTGCGTTCAGTTTACGGTTGACTGACTTCCAGTTATCCTGTACTCCTTTGGGAGATATTCGGCAATTTGGCCACATTCTAATCTCTAGATCCGCAAGTAGGTGAGATGGTTGCCGCATGTCAGAAGCTACATGAGCCGGTCCCGATTCCTGCTTATGGGCGATTTTAACTCCCCTCGAATACTGTGGCCTGAGGTTCCGCTTCTCACCGGGCACTGGGAAATCGAGGCGCAGTTTTTGAAGATAATATTTGAGACTGGGGCAGCCTAACACGTCTGCCAATCGACGCGCGTTACACCGCATTCCACTCCATCGTGCCTGGACCTAGTTGCGAGTGTGTATGTGAAATTCAGATCTTGGGACCTTTGGCAGCAAGTGACCACTCCATGGTGCTAGCCTGCCTAGAGCTGCCGCTGCTCTACTCGCGTCCGCCGGAGCCGTCCTACAGTTATTGGAGGACTGAATTCGATGGTCTCAATCGCGGCCACAGGATTCATCTGTTGAAACCTGTTGGCCTCGTTTACAAGAGGGTGTGCAGTCGTTTTGTGCTCGTTTCCTGCTACTCACATATCGTAAAGCTGAGCCAGTGAAGCCACATTGGTTCGACAAAGATTATGACCAATTAGCTCGACGGCGACGTCTATTATGGGATAAATTCCTCGTATCTGGTTCTGTTGAATGTCTTGGGGCATCCAAAAGGCAGCGGCATTATTCAACAGCGCAAATGCACGAAAGCGTCGACATTTCGAAGCGGAGATAGCAACCTCAGCGAGCCGAACAACTTCCTCGTGGTGCAAGCTGGGTGGTTCGGGTTAATCCCGGTCCAGCTAATAGTTCGACGGCACTGTTCCAGGACGTGGTGGATTTTCGCCTGGCAAGCGTCCTCCTTATAAAAGCCACAGATGTCTGCTTATCAACACTGCGACGTGGCGGATGCGACTCGCCACAATTTAAAGTCACTGCCCCGTGGATATCCGGAAATTACTATCCAACCCACGGACCTCAATCGCTTATTCTCACATTTCTGACGATAACAAACAGTCAGAAATACAGCGGCACATTCACAAACACAATCTACATTCATACACAATTGGTTGGCGTCATCCGGTTTCGGATTTGCATGTCACTGTGGCCAGCCACAGGACGCCTGCGCCTACAGAGGGACCATGGATGGCACCACTCACAGCTCCGACCACACACCCCATATTCAGTGTAGACCCGAAGGAATAAGACGGGGAGGTATGTGGATGGGAGCCACGTTTCATCAACGGAGCCGGCCCACACTCCTTCACATGCAAAGACAAGCACGCTGTATTTGGGGAATCAAGCGCACACAAGCGGTGGCTGGACCGTAGTCCGCTCCACACTGAGTGCATGGAACCGCTCCTTGAGCCTAGCACGGCCACAAGGACCGTGCACCGCATCCCCTCCAGCAATGGCCAACTGTATCCTGGAGCCAGTATGAACGAGGTAGTGTACAAAGACAGGTGGGCACTTTGTAAACATGCACATCAAGCGCAGCCACACCGGGGATGTCGAACAACAGCCAATCACTTGAAATACTACTATCAAATAAAATATATCTGTTAAGGTATACGCCTACGCAAACAGAATTTTTCCCTCAATTTACCTATGAGGTAACTTGGTTAGCAACGAACCCGCGATAAGTACAAAATGTCCAGAAGTTACACAAAAATGCTACAACCACAATAAAGTTAACGAAGATAACCACAATTATCGTAAGCAACGTGGCCAGTTAGTAGAATGTTATTCAGGTAGGTAGAACAAACCAAATAAAGTGGAATGAAATTTATCCAGCTTAGAAAGTATATACAGCCATATACGTACATTCACTGGTATGCCAAACATGTATTTTTGTACATTTTTGATCACACTATGTTAGCTTAACATGATCATGCCTTTAAAGGTGTACCTCGCATTGTCGAGAATATAAATTTTATTTATTTATTTAAGTCGGCCCTCAAGATTCTTGCTCATGTGAATCGTCGTCTGAGGTCCGCAGATGACCTAGCAGTGTTAGCCGACTCGGATGGACAGACTCCGACTTTCAGCGCTGAACGTGCGTTGAGGTTCTGCTCAACGAGTTGAGGATGTGGAGTGTTGGTAGCGCACTGCACCAATGGATCAGTGACTTCCTCATTGGGAGAAAATAGCGGATACAGGTGGATGACCACCTAACGGAATGGTACCCGTCCGTTGGCAGCGTACCCCCAGGCACAGCACTGGGGCCCATTTTGTTCCTGATCTACTTCGACAAACTACCTCAGCTTTTTCGGTTGTTCTGCCCATCCTTTGCAGACGACCTGAAAGTTTGATGGGTCATCGATTCTGTTGACTGCTGACCTCTTTCACCTGGACTTTGACCGCCTGTGCCTGTGGTGTGCAGAACCTGATCTACTGTTCACCCCGGTCAAGCCTTCATTTATGAATCTGTTTAAGGATGGTAATGGGCGTATGTGCACCACAGCCGGCCAACCGCTGCATCCCACCAGTTCCATAAAGGATCTAGGCGTACTCTCGTGCTGTGATCTGAAGTCTGTCAACAACACAAACAGACTGTATGCAAACGGACTGCGCCTGCTTTGTGCGCTTAGGTACAGCTTCTGCACTTGATCTGAAGAGATTACCAGCCGTCTGTTCTCTTCCATATTAAGACCGGTGCTTGAGTACGGCTCACCCGCCTATTGTCCGATCACAGTAGGTGGGGTGCAGAGACGAACGGGTACA